TGTAGGTATCTTCTGTTCTGTCTCTCAAGATGAGAATTTTCTTAGTACAGGGGCAATATCTTATCAATCTTTGTGTTCTCAGTGCTAAGCACAGTGCATGCCACACGGTCAGTGTTCCAAACGTGATTTATGTGAACAAAAGCTCATTTTGAGACACTAGAGGGGAAAGAAAAGAATATAATTGTTGGTTCATAGCGATATCATGCTAGCCAAAGCAATCAGAAAAAGGCTAATTTAGTTTAGCCCGAGAATGAAATTACTGATTGCAGAGCAGAAAAACATTGCAGAAAAGATATGATTAAAATCAAGTGGCTTTTTGTGGGAATGGATGTTTTCTTTTGTTCGAGAATGCTGCAATCAGAGATTGAGATTCTAAACCAAGTATAATGGAAGTACTTATAGACTCTACTATTCTAGTAAGCAAACTCTTCCTATCGATTCAGAAAAGGGAAAAGGTCCAATAACTCAAAGAAGCCAAGGAAGCCAAGGAAGCTATGGTGACAGCTATCTCGATTGAGAAGACAGATACGTGCTGCAACACGGGCACATGCTGAAGCAGATGTTAACATCTGGTGGCAACAGCATTTCCTGCTCCTCAAATCTCTGCCCAGTCACCCGGAATCAGTGCGTGGGTCTGAAGCTGTGCTTTGGAAAGTCATCTCAAATGGTGAGTTGCTAGTTCCTGGCCAGAGTTTGTGTTGCTCACCAAGGAGAAACACCCATGGTTACTGGGATTATGCAGCAACCTCAAAATAGCTGGAAGATATTAGTCAATCAGAGCCACACAGGACTGGCAGAAGATGGCAAAAACGGGACCAAATCAAAGCCTTCTTGCTTTTTTGCTACAATCTAAAGTTTCATATTCTATAAGGCCTTGTCCATTCTTGGCCAGTAGCTGTGTTTTAAACTAGCCCTATCTCCCTAAATTGAGGACTAGAAGGCCCACCCGAGAATAATTCCCCTATGAATTAAAAATAAAGATTCAGTAAGGGAAACACTTGAAAACGCTGTGTTGGCATTTGAATAATGATGAAAAATGTCTTATGAGTATACTTAGGAACTATACTTTTTATGGAATTGTAGAGTTGGAAGATAACAGAGACCTAACAAATAACTGGGACTTGAGCTTTAAGCTCAAACACCTGCTTCACTAGCCATATAACCCAGGACAGGTGACACTAACTTTCTAAGCTTCAGTTCTCTCATTTATAAAGTGGGGGCAAAATATTTATATTTCACAGGATTATGAGAATTGGGATAATTTATGTCTCAGTTTCCACATCTATCAGATGTAGAAAATAATACTTACTGGTTTTTATAGAGATTAAATAGCACAATGAATGTAATGTACTTGACTGGGTGTCTGGCCTGTGGTCCAAGCTGATGAGTATTAGCAAGCACAGTGAAGGTAATGATGACCCTAATCCTTCTGCAGAGAATGCTATATGCCAGGCACTGTTTTAAATGGTCTACATGTATCATCTAATTTAATCTTCATTAATGCCACGTTATCTGTCATTCCCATTTTACAGATCCAGGCTGTCTGGGTACAGAGCTGGCACTATTAGCCAGTAAGCACTGATGAAGGAGGTGAGCTTGATGATGATGATGATGATGATAATGTAAGGCACCTAGCTGAATGCCCGGTGCCTGGGAAATGCTCAGTAAATGCTTGCTATTATTATAATGCCGGTATCGTTTGTAAAGATTTCTAGAGATGGAAGTTCTATATCCATTTTAGCTACTTATTCAAAGATTAAATCACTTTTATCTCCTTTCACATATCTTAAAATTCTTTCTTGGTATTATTTAAGCCTATTTTCTCTTTTTTAGATTTCCAGAGAAGAAGAGAATAAAATCTTTCCTGAAATAATTAGTTAATCTCTTCGAGGATAGTTAGTAAGTTATTAACCCCAATTTCTTTAAGGATTTTTTTATGGGTGCCACCTTCTTGTTTTCAATCCATTTAATCTTATTTGTTGCTTTTCCCTGAGACCTTTATAGTTTTCTTTTATTTCTCTTTGAAAGCTGAAAGCAAAACTGGTCAGTGTTTTTTTTTTTTTTGAGACAGCATCTCACTCTGTTGCCTGGGCTAGAGTGCCGTGGGCGTCAGCCTAGCTCACAGCAACCTCAAACTCCTGGGCTCAAGCGATCCTACTGCCTCAGCCTCCCGAGTAGCTGGGACTACAGGCATGCGCCACCATGCCCGGCTAATTTTTTCTATATATTTTTAGATGTCCAGCCAATTTCTTTCTGTTTTTTTAGTAGAGATGGGGTCTCGCTCTTGCTCAGGCTGGTCTCGAACTCCTGAGCTCAAACGATCCGCCCGCCTCGGCCTCCCAGAATGCTAGGATTACAGGCATGAGCCACCGCGCCCGGCCTGGTCACTGTTTTTTGATACTGGTCTCACCACTGTGGTGATTACCAAAAGCATTCCTTAATGCTGACCCTAATTCTAACCCAGGCTTCACCTGTGTGCTGTGAGCAGTAACAGTAGTGGATTTGATTTTTCTTTTTGCTGGTTTTAGAAACATAATGCCATTTATCTTAAAGGGCTGATGTAGGATCAAATGTGATGATGTTTATAAAAGTAACTATAGCATTGTGCCCTAAAAATACCAATCAAGCCATTAACTAATACTAGAGTATTAGTTATACTAATACCATGAGGAATCTGATACCTTCAATTCAAAACGCATTGTTATATCCCTGTCTGGTACTATGAATCCTCTCATGGCCTCTGTCTGTCCACAGGGTAGAACTCAATGTTGTCTGCATGTCCTCGTGGCATCCAGGGCTATTCAGGATCTGGTGCCTGTGACTCTGCCAGCCTCCTCTCTTGTCATCGTCTGCCACCAGGTTGTGCTCTTCTTAGCCACAGTGAACACCTTGCCCTTCTCTGCACTCACCATGCTCTCTCACACCCCTGTGCACTTACACGTATGTTTCCTATGTCTGGATTGTCTTCACTCCCAACCACCTGGGAATTCCTCAGCATCTTTCCGGAGTGAAAGCAAGCATTACATTCTCCATGAAGCCTCTCTTCATTCGTCTCATAGAACTATGTACAAACTTTTCTAAAGAATTTAGGAAATTGTTTGTCTTGAGTTCCTTCTTTGAGGTCAGGGGCTATATTTTATTTTTCTACCCCTAATGCCTGGTGTGCATCAAGAACTTAAGAAATGAATGAATGACTAAACTATATTCATTCTCTAGGCCTAGTACAAGCACCATCTCCCACTACCTTCCTCTCTTCTGAACCACGCATTTTGGCCCTTCACCAACTCCTGCCTTGCCCTGAAGCTCAGAGCCCACCTGGCAGTTCCCAGGTGCCTTCAATGCCCAGGGCATGAACATTTGTCAAGTGAGTGACTATGGAAGAAAATCCAATTATTCGATGTTATGTTGTTCACGCAGTTTACATAAAATCTTATCCTGTTTTACCCTACGTAACTGCATATGTATTTTTTTTTTCAAGAAAACGATTTAATCCTTACATTCCTCAGATTTTGAAATTAGGTATCTATCTATCTATCTATCTATTTAGAGACAGAGTCTCAGTCTGTCACCTGGGCTAGAGTGCAGTGTCATCATCATAGCTCACTGCAACCTCAAACTCCTGAGCTCAAGTGATCCTCCTGCCTCAGCCTCCTGAGTAGCTGAACTACAGGTGCATGCCATGATGCCTGACTAATTTTCCTATTAGTAGAGATGGGGCCTCACTCTTCTCAGGCTGATCTTGAACTCCCAAGCTCAAGCAATCTTTCTGCCTTGGCCTCCCAGAGTGCTAGGATTACAGCTGTGAGCCACTGCGTTGGGCCTAGCTAATTATTATAAAGATTTTTTTCCTCTTGGAAATGATGAAACTTTTCTTAATTTCCTGATACAGTTTAGATCTTTTGAAAAATGAGGCTTTCCCAGAGTTTTTGATAAAGATGGTAGATTAAACTGGATCACAGAACTTCTAACCACCAATATCTAGCAAAATATATCAATAATAAAACTTCCCTCAAAAGAACAATTACAAAGAAGAATCAAAGAAAGAAAAGGTATAACTGAAGGCAATCAATTCAAACACTTCACAGAAAGGAAACATGAGATTCCAGAGCAGAGTGGAGAAGCACGCCACAGCCTGGCTCCGAATCCTGCCGCTTTGCTCCTGAAATGAGGCCCTGCTTTCTCTTTAGACAAAGTAATTTGACTTCGCTTGTGATTTTAGGGAATACTTAGCTCTTCCTTAATTATTTGTGCAAATTGACCAGGGCATGATTTCAAATGTGAAATCTCCAAATAATGGTCACTGGTTAGGAAGCACTGAAAAATCTTAATCACTATTTTTAGGGGCAATAGCAATATCACCAACAGTTGTTCTGTGAAACAGCTAAAAAGGCAGGCCATGTGAGGGCAGGGGGAGGGCAGGAGGAGGAGGAGCCAGGGGGCAGAGAGGACACATACCCTGGATGATCCTAAATGTTCCTCTGTTTCTTCAATGACAGTAACATGATTTGTAGGAAGAGAATTCTATTTGTGAATTTCCAGTAGAGGTGTGATGCTGATAGATCTTATATGAAGGGACTCAGGAAGCTGGGTGTCTACTAGGGTTACTGGTAAAATTACTGCTTCCTGGACAGGAGGAGAGGTGAGGTTAAATATTTTTCTTTGGAGAACTCAACTAGGAAAGCTGTGGGATGAGTCCACAGTTTCATGCAGACATTTTAGCACTGATTAATTTTTTCTGACTGGCTGATTAGGGTTCAGATGACTCACTCCAACAGTTTTGGGATAGGTCTAGCATTGTGCTAGGTACTGGAGATTCAAAGAAAAAATAAGACATGGTCCTTCTATTTAAGGAATAGAATAGAAAACATCAGAATATATCACATATAATAAACATTTTTCAGTTATATACTTCCACACACATGCATTTGTGTGTATTAGATCTCAACGCAAACCATATTTTGGGCCCAGATTATTTTCTTGGTCTATAAATGGAAGCTTACCTGTAAATTATCCAGGATGATTCGGAGGGAGTGCACCTGTCGCCGAACAGCACCTGAAAACCTTTCATAAGTCGCAGCGTCATATTCACTCATTTGGATCTCCTTCAGCCTGAAACCAAAAGGGCATAAAAGGATAACAGCTTGTGCATGTGGGTCTTTTACTTTCATTCCCCTACTGCTAGAACTTTAGCAAACTCCTTGGCAACTTAGATTGACTTTGAGGAGAAAAAGCAAGAAGTGATGTCTCCAGCTATGTTTATAGATTCAAAGGAGGGGAATGTCCAGTGCTGTGCTGGTAAATAGTTAACAGTTGGCCCTCCAGGTTTTTTTTGTTTTTTTTTTTTAAAGCCTTGACTTACAGTATTCGGTGATTTTCATGGTGTAAATATTGCCACCACGATCAATTTCAAGCTACTAACACTGAACACTGAGTTAGAAATGTGCACAATCGGGTCTCTGGAGAAACGTGCATGAGTTGGCTCTATAGCACACCACTGCTATATCCCAAAGACACGCTGTGAGGCTGGCAGCTGATCAGTTCACGTGGCAAATTCCTAAGAGAGTTCCCATGGGTTGCTTTTTAAGACGAAGGTCATCTATTTGGTTGACCAAGATAACAGTTCAGGCCCAAAGAACATAATTTAATGTGTTGTTATGTATGCTCATACAAGAGTTTTCTAAAATTGCTGACAGTGTACCTTAAATAGGAAGATTATATTTTAATATTATTGTGGCTCTGAAATTCTGTTCTCCCAGTATGCTGCTCCTTTTTATTTTTCATCACTTGCTTTTGCTACAGTGCCACCAGTGCACTGACAGTTCCCTGCACACACCATACACCATGGCCCATGCCTTGATGCTCCCACAGGTGCCTCTCTCCCACCTGGAGTGCCCTTTCCCTGCCTCTTTGCCTACTAACTCCACTTACCCTTCAAGACTCAAATCAATTATCGTCTCCTCTAGGAAGCCTGCTCTGACCCCCAGGTCTGTCTTCTGTGCTCTCATCTCACTTCATTCCTCCGTCAGTCGGAGCATTTACCCTCCTTGTTATAACTGTCTGTCTTTTGTCTCCCCAACTAGGCTCTATGCTCATTTAGGTCAGGGCTGAGTCTTTCTCATCTTTATATATACAGTGCCTAGCATGGTACCTAACATGTAACAGGTGCTCAAAATAAACTGAAATGAATGACCGAAATAAAAATACGACTCAGGATTATTTAAAATGCAGCATCTTACACTAATTATAAGTAGAAAGTCCATTCACGGGGCGCCCTCTCTTGGGTTTTACAGTGTTGTATCCATCATACACTAATTGAATTGCACATTTCCATAAATTTCTATAAATATAAAAGGTGCTGACTCTAGGACAGGGAATAATGAATGCATACCTCAAAAGCCTAAGCATAACACAATCTTCTAAACCGCTGTGTGTGTGTGAGTGTTTGTGTGTGTGTGTGTGTGTATGCAGGCACGCAACATTGGAGGTATGGATCTTAGGCGTATAGCTGAAACTCTTAACTGAAGTATATTTTTATCTCCTTGGGCTAAAACAGAAACCCCAAATACTGAATGAGAACAAATGGTCTCTATTCCTTCCCGTCAGGCCAAGCACTGGGAAGAATCCATTCATGATGGCGCAGAGCACTGGAAGCGTATTACAGCTGCATAATGCTAGGCCTAACCTACCATGGGGCAGATTTGCAGTTCCTGCCCTACCACCCAGCTGGGCTGGCTAACACCAACTCAGGTTTCAAGACTCAGCTCAAAGGTGACATCCTAAGAAGTCTGGCTTGATCCTTTGGATAAAACTGACCATTCCTTTTTTATATACCTTATACAGACATCTACCATGGAACCTGTACACTCTATTGCTTTAATAGATAGGTCTGTTTCCCTCTATCATGATGTTTTTCAAATTTTCTTTTCCACAGTAGGAAATATGGTTTACATTGAGATCTAGTACACACAAATGCATGTGTGTGGGGGTGTATAACTGAAAAATATGTTTATTATATGTGATGTACTCTGATGTTTTCTATTCTATTCCTTAAGTAGAAGGACCATGTCTTATTTTTTCTTTGAATCTCCAACACCTAGCACAATGCCTGGCACACAGTGGCACTCAATAAATGTTGTTGGATAGCACTTTGAAAACACTCACTATCAAAAGGTAAATATAGACAAGGCCACCATAATATCTGAATGGCTGTATTGTGAGGCGACATGCCAAGGTGCCCTTCTAAATCTAATTAACTCTCTATCCTGAAGAACTAGAAGGAATACATGTATAGGACTTGACCTTCTAACAATACCTCTTATGTTTAGTTCTGGCAGTCTCTGAAATCTATGAATTTTCATTAGATTAAGTTATGTCTCAAGTATCAAGGCTGACAGAAGCTGGGCACAGTGAGCACTGCAGGATATGCCACCTACCCACTTCATACCTAGGAAGTCAATATGCTCTTTCCCCAAGAAAGGAGATTAGAACTGATTAGAAAAAATGTAGACTTAGCTGTACTTGGGGGGAAGGGAAGGTGAGACAGGGATGGAGGAGGGAATATACACACACACATACATGAACGTGTACACATACACATGCATGTACATACATACACCTATCTGTATGTATATACACATACGAACATATAGATACATATCAAGGAAGAAGCCAGGCAGTTGGCGAGTCACCTTGAGCAGACAGACCTTTGCAGAGAGATCAGAATTAGCTCCCAGATCATGTTGCACCCAAAAACACACCACATGCTGTTTCAATTACGAAGAAATCTGGAAATCATATTCCAGATTGTGTCAGCTTGCAGAAAGATCACCTACAAGGTGTTCAAAGCTGATAACAAATTCTGAAAGATGAAGACCAAAGCAGGGAATGGAGAAAGAAAATAGGAAATTTTAGCCCTTGGATCAAACAAGGTTCCCACTGCTAATACTCTCAAGCCCACAAAACAAGCTGAAAATACGTCTTTTTGCTTCTTTAACTGGGATCAAAACTGCAGGGCACAGCTGCTTCGCATCCTAGTAATCTATGTGGACTAACTGTACGTTGCTGGCACAGTATATTTTTAAAGGGTATATTTACTGTTACGTAAGAGTCTGGGAATTTTAGTTCTCATTTTACTTTTTCTTATAGGTCAGACTTAAATACTATAATTTTGAATCAATTATGAGGAAAACAAACATAAGCCGAGATTCACTGTGTGAGGCTGATTAGTTTTGCAAATGGTAGTGGATGTGATTTCCACAGCTGGTGCCCACCCTAAGTGCTTTTCTAAGTGTGTACAAGTGCCTCACTGTCTATTCCATTCACTTTTCATTGGTGTGATGTTTCTGTTCTGTTTCATGCATGTCCTATGCTTGTCTCCCTCTGTTAGTCTGCCTGAGTTAGTATATTCTTGATATGTAGGGACTCGTATCTAGCCTCACACCAGATACCAATGGATGCTAAGGAAGTGCTATGTTGATGATGTCAGGAACCCATCTGTAGTATCAGGCTCTGCAAGGCAACGGAATGGACTTTCCAGCTGATGGCTGGGACTGCCTAGTTTCAGCCAGTCTCTAAATTAAGTACTAAAGGGTGATATTATTTCTTGTATGCACACATGTATTATTCATTCTGCAAATATGTATGAGTGTTTGCCATGTACCAGGTTCTGCATGCAGGTCCTAGAATTATACTAGGGCACAAAACAGATAGATCCCTGCCCTCAAGGAACTTATAGGCAGTGGAGAGACAATCAACTAATCATACAAATCATAAAATGTGAAGGATTGATAAGCGATATGGAGAGGAGGTATAGGGCGCTATAGAAGCATTAATGGTGGGACCTGACCTCATTCTGCATATGCCTAAAGTGGTAAAATAGCTTTAAAATTAATTATTTGATGATGGTAAAGAATTATTACTTTTTAAAGACATGATAATAGTATTGTGGGTTTGTATTTTTTTGAGTTCTTATATTATAGAGATACACGCTGAAATATGTACCATGAAATGACAGAACGTCTTGGATTGGCTTCAAAACAAGCCAGGGGTGAGGACTGGGAGTAGAGCCAGATGTTTCTTCTTGAAGTTGGGGGGGTCAGGTCCATAAGATTCATTATATATTTTTCTCTACTTTTGTTTTATGTTTGAAAAGTTGAAGGAAAAAAAGTTAAAGAAAAATCTTTAGCCGTACTAAATGGAATAGTCATCAAATGGGATAGAAGTCCTGTTTCCACATGAAAGCAGAAAGCAACATTTTTCTCTTGGTGTTTTTCTGTGCCTCTGTCTTTCTCAGGACTTCCATGTGTCTTTACTTCTTCCTCGCTTTTCTCACACCCTTGCCAACTTCTGTCTTTCAACCACCTTATGGTATTCTCTTTTACTACCACTGAGATTCTTCTCTGCTGTACACAACAGAGGCGTATGGTTTTCTCACTTACTCCCTTCCCCACATCCTCTCTTTCCTCTCTGACATCCACTACACCCAGTTGCCTTCTTAGTGCAGATGTCCCTTGACTTCTTCCCCTGTGGGCCAATGGCCCTTCATAGAACCAGGTTCCTTATCCCCATATGGCAGCTGGACACAGGGTTGCACACTTGTGTCCAAGCACCACTGCAAGGCCTTTCTGCCTCCCTGTGAACTACTGTGTGCCACAACACTCTAGCCACTTGTCCACTTGTACAAAAATTTAGACTGGACAATTACTTGGGAGGTTTTATGGGTGGCAGTAATAGGAATTCATTAGTTGGGGAGGGGAAAATGACGCATATCTAATTGGCTCTTTTCCTAAATGGATACTTCATTATTCATATGAAATGTAGAGCAGTATTTTAATTCTAACAAGACTTTTCATTATAGTATTCCTCCCACCTTTTTTTCGAGAAGTTTCAACTGCTTTCATTCCTAACATAGTTTCTGTCCTCATAGCCTCTCTGGAAGAAAAGAGAGTGAAACCCCCTAGATCCAGAAGAACAAATTCTGGCACACGGTGGATAAAGAAACTGTCCAAGGTCACCAGGGAAGCCAGCAGACGGGCTGAGAGCAACACTCCTGCCTCTAACACACACATGTTATTTACCTGTTGGGCCCACGAGGGTCCTGAAAGTCCTTGCAGACTTTCCTGAGGGTGTGGCAGGCGGGACCTGCATTTTTGTCTCTATTGTTCTGCGCTGTTTACTTGCAGGATGTGAAAGCACAGCATGTAACGTGATACCAGATGTTCTATGTGGGAGGAATTTCATAACTCGCATACCCTTGCGCATACTTTTTTCTGACTGCACCCAGCTCCTTTAATTGAGCACAAAAATGTCACTCTACTTCCCAAACCACCACCAGGTCCCTCAATCTGAAAGGAGACATTGTTGGTTCTTTGGCATTTTTCACTTTTAGCTGAAGAACACATGTGGATGTCTATCGAGAGCATCATGTGGATTCTTATTTTTTTAGACGGGTCCAATTAAAGTAGCCCAGAACAGCTGTGGAACATCTAACAGCCACAGGCGCGTCGGCCTGGATTTCAAGGCCTCCACCTGCTGACAAGGCCTCCCCATCCAGCCTCACTGCCCACTTCTCCCCCGCTGGTACCCCTTATCCTAGGTGGGCAAGCTGGCTGCCTCCGCCACAGACACTGTGCTCATCCTGCCCTGGTGCCTCTGCTCATCTAGTTTTCTCTTCCTGGAATGTTCTAGCTCTTCTTTTCCCATTTCCAAATACTGGATGAACTCAGGCCCCACCTCACATCAGCCCACCACCCTTGCCCCTCTCTGCGTTGTTGGAGGACACAGCCTCTGTATCATGTGACATTAACACTTAACAGGCGTGTGTGTGTGTGTGTGTGTGTGTGTGTGTGTGTATACTAGCCCTGTCTCCACACCAATCCATAAGATTCCTGAGGGCAGGAAGAACGTCATGTAGAGTTATCTGAATTCCCTATATGGCCTATACACATGGACATGGATGGAATGATTTAAACTTTAACTTCTCTTAAGAGAAATATCTTTGGTTTTACTTTCTCATGTGCTCAGTTCCTTCTTCTACACAGTCATATGTGATCAATAAATTTCAAAGAGCCTGAGTAAGAAGAAGAGGGGATTTTGTTCACTTGGCTGTCTCCATCAGGGAGAGGCAGTGGTTATGGAATTCAATTGTGGTCCAAGTTGCTGCACGAGGTAGAAAATCACACAAATCCTGGTTTACCCACAATCCACTATGAAATTTCACCACAGCAGCGAGTGCTGTTCCAGGGGACACTGACCTCTGCTGAAATGCCCTCTGGCCCATCTCTCTCGCGGCTCTCTTGACCTCCTCAGGAACTGCATCTTTCTCGGCCTGTGAGACTTGGTACACTGTGTGGCCTGCATCCAGCCGGTAGGGACCTCCTTTGCCACCCAGACCTGCCGTGTCTCTTCCCCCTGGAAGGAAAGCATGGAAAGCCAGATGGTAAGTTTGAACCTGACCACAAAACCAAAGTCAGATCATGGCTTTAAGACAGTCCTGTAAAGTATATTCATTGTACTTAACTAGTAATTAAATATTCAAATGACTTTCTGGAAACAAAACTGTTCCCTGTTTAGGATGTTCTCCCTTTTCTCCATCCATCCAAATCCTACCTATATTTCAAGGACTTAGTCCAAATTCTGTGACAGCTTATCTGACGCTTCGACCTCATAGGGATCAGTACTCTTGTGTATAATTTATCTTTAATCTTTATTTTATTTTCTCAACAAGTATATGATGGATGGGGTCATATTTTAATTATTTTTGTACCTCTGTACCTATAAGAGTGACTTCAATATCCTAGATGTATATATTTGCTAATTAAATATCAACTCTTCTCTTCCTCATGTTACCTTATTTTTCCTTAAAATACTGAGAGACAGCTAGGCTGCAAATACTGTTTCTTCTGGTTTGCAAATTATAAAAATGATGCACAGAGACGTTAAGTGGCCTATTCATGACCTTTTATCACTGGCTTAGCCAAGATTAGAAGCCAATTGTTATACCAACTTTGACTTTTAGCTTTGAACAATATTCAACAGACAAACATCACCAGCTGCAGAACAGTCTTTCGATATAAACTCAAGTTTTACATGCTTGTAAGTATACATTATATAACACTGTATGAACTGTTTATGTTGTAAATATAAATTAAATGCCTATCAGGCCAGTTAGGTAATTATAAGACGTTGTGGGGATACTGGCTAACTAGAGAGAATTACCTTGTCTAAATTTGTCCAAGTTCAAATTATTTTAAAACATATGGTAACCAAAGAAAAAATACATCTATTGGCTAGATTTGGCCTTTGGCCTACCAGTTTGTTACCTCTGCTATAATGATTAGGATACTAGGAACTGGTTTCTTTTGTTCTTTCATACATAACTTGGGAACTTAGAAGAGAATCCAATATTAGAAGGGCAGTATAGTACACTACAGTGTGGAGTAGCAGTATTGTGTACTATTGCATAGTTAAGCCAGACTGTCTGAGTTTGAATCCTGGTTTCAATTCACTAGCTGTGTGTCTTTGGGGAAATGACTTAACATCTCTGTGTCTCAGTCTCTCATCTATAAAATCAGGATACCGGTATTTAATATTATTTACTTCATGGGGATTGTCATGAAGCTAAAACACTTAGAACACTATCTGGCACACAATAAAAGCTACATAAAGGACTATTTTTACTATTATTATTTAAATAATCCCCAGTCACACGAATTAAGCAATTTCTAGTTTCATAAAGTAGAAAATTCGAAAGCTTTTCTTCTTCTCCTCTGTAGCTTTAATTGTCTAACAAACTAAAAATGAGAACTCAGGGTGAACCGCTTCCTTTATGAAAGTCCAGGTCGGGCATATCCTTTGGGAAATACCATGAGAACAGCCTATTAATTACAGTATTTTTATCTTTTGGTTGGAGCATATCTTATTTTACTTTTATTCAGAAATGAGTGGTGGAAAATTCCTTCTTGGATGTATGTGATTCCCAGCTCTGACTCACGGTCAGCCTATAGGCAGAGGGGCGCAGTAATCGGAAAATGACAGTAAGCTACAGGTGGAAAAGTGGTTTCTGGGACCTGATTCCCTTCCCTCAGGAGGTTATCCTTAGGAACGGGCGGATCATGAATTAGAGCGTCATTCTGGTGAAAGGAGGAAAGTGGTGAAACTGTTAGGGCTGGTGTGGCCAGCATGAGTCACAGGGTCCTTGGGAAAGTCATACTGGGGTGGAGAGGGCAGGGGGGGAGAGTTCTTCATGATCTCCACTTCCCAGAGCCTTTAATTTGCACTATTTAAATGAAAACGCTAGCAGGATGTTCTAAGACCGCAAGGCGTAATCTTCTTAAAGCTCAGCTTGGACATCCCAAGGCAGTTCAGAAGATGGGGGCGAGGATGGGCAAGGGAGGGCAAGGGAGGGCTTTGATGAAGAAAAGGGAATCAGATGACCTCTTGGGCCAGAGCTAAGTTCAATGTACAGAATTCTGAGGGAGAAGAACAACAGAGAGAAAAAGAGAAATTGAAGCCAAGGGCCTTGATCAATTGAAAAATAAGAGGCCAGGGAAGCAAATGCAGGGTCTTCAGTCTGGGCACGTGCTTCAGAAGCAAACGCGAGCTAGTAAATTCAAGTTGAATAACAAATATGAACTTTCACTCCAGAGTGCTGGGACCTACATCTGGCCAGGCCAGGTCCTTCCACAATGCATTCCATATGGATTAAATCTTGTTGGCTTGACACTAACTTATAGATCAAAGGACATTTCTAAAAATAGCCTTACTTTAAAGCTGTTGCTTGATGAATAAACAGAGTAGGCGAGAAGTCACAGGCACATTTGATAGCGCATTGTCTCAGCACAGGAACCCACTTCCTCCCTAGGCTGTCAAGGCCAAGAGGCGCAGACCATCCTAAGGGAAGGTGGAGTACAGAGCTCCGATAAGCTCAGACAGTGCGCACACAGTCTGGCCCTATTCCTGTGGCCCAGCAGATGTGTCTGCTCCAGCTGACTGCGGAGGAAAAAGGAAGACGACAGTCCTGGGAACAATGCTCTGGTCCGGCAGCCAAGAGGAAGGAATGGACCACGGCCATCAGTTCAAACTGCAACCAGCTCTCTTATCTCAAAATCTTGCATCCTTAACACATTCACTGAGATGTGGAAGACAAGGACCATTTCTTTTCAAAGTCAGTTGCTCAAGAAAGAATTTACTATAGATTTCTGGCACAATCCCAAGGTCATGGAATTTAAAAGAAGGGATTAACACTTTAATAAATACATTCTTCATGCCAGGTATTGTGCTCAGTGCTTTACAATCTTAATCTCATTTAATCCTCACCACAACCTTCTAAGGCAGTTAACATTACCCCCCTTCAGGTGGGAATGGTCTTAGGTCATAGGGCTGAAGAGTCTGTGGGATTCCAAATGCCAGGCTCTTTGCATGTCTTGATGTCATGCTGGGCAGAGGGCAAGAACACAATCTAACTGAGTAACGGGGGAGGCTAGGAAGGAAAGCTGGTCCCTGAGCCTGTTCAGGGGTGGCGTGCTGGCCTGATGGGCTTGTGAAGCCTCAGGAAGCCTGACCCAGAACACCCATGCTACCAACCTGTTCCGCCAGCCCAAGTATTGCCGCCTACGTGCGGCATGTTGTCTGGGTCCTCCTTTCCGTGTTTGGGGGAGCTCACATCTTCACCACTATCTCTGTTGATTGTTATCTAAAAATGAAGAATTGAGACATTATCACTGTCCTATGACCAATACCAGGAACTGAATGACAGAAAGAAGAATTCTTTTCCCCTAAGTCCTTAAGGCATCTCCTAACCTTAGGCCACAGGATGTGATAGATGCTGTGAGTATCTGGCAAAAATTTTAGCAGATTTAACATCCGTTCAGTTAGGAAGGAGATAAATTAAATTAAAAAAAAAATTCCTTTTTTTTTTTTTTTTTGAGACAGAGTCTCACTCTTTTGCCCTGGCTAGAGTGAGTGCCATGGCGTCAGCCTAGCTCACAGCAACCTCAAACTCCTGGGCTCAAGCGATCCTCCTGCCTCAGCCTCCCGAGTAGCTGGGACTACAGGCATGCGCCACCATGCCCGGCTAATTTTTTCTATATATTTTTAGTTGTCCAATTAATTTCTTTCTATTTTTAGTAGAGACGGGGTCTCGCTCTTGCTCAGGCTGGTTTCGAACTCCTGAGCTCAAACAATCCGCCCGCCTCGGCCTCCCAGAGAGCTAGGATTACAGGTGTGAGCTACCACGCCTGGCCCCCCAAAAAAAATTCTTTACAGAGAAAAGAAAAGGAGCTGCACTGGGGTTATAGCTCCAGAATTCTCCTGTTGCAGAACATGCCATGAGCATTTATACGAGGCATGAGACCTACCAGACACAGGGAAAATGGATCTCACCAGAGACAGATATTTCCCAGTGGTTTAAAAGGATCACCATCTAGCCCATCCAACTGAGTCAGTAAATATACATTTACCTATTTTTATTTTTAAACAAATCCCATTACTCCAAGAAATGCCCTTTTATGTTAAATATATGGAAAAGAAAAACAAAAAATAATGTATGTATGCCTCAGTGATAGATTTATGTTACACACGCCCACATATACTAAAAACTGCTTATTTATTTTTTGGACGTACTCCAATTTTATTATGGTATTTTGTAGCTTTCCTAATTCATCTTTAATTTAAAACTAGATTTACTGTTCTTGCAATTCCAAGAGAATAAGCGGCATTTTAGCCCTCCTCTATGAGAGTCTCTAGCTCATTGATCCCTGTTTCCTGTTCAGTACAGAGTCTCCAAAAGGTTTGATAACCACACAGGAATCCGAGTCCTAGTAGTCAGATGTTCAGTTGGTCCTACTCTACAATAAAAAGAACTCAAAGCTTTCACACATTTCATTTACACTATTAGCCTGTTCTCAAATGTAATGATTTTCAGGAAAGACAAGATCAAATTCTCATTTATATGTTCAAACAGACTTACAGAAAACATACTGGCGGGACATCATGTGAAGTAGCATGGGGCCTACAAAGCCATGGAGGATTGGTCCCTGCCCTTGAACTACTTACAGTGGAACAAGGGAGCTTGCAAATAGGTCTGAAGCCAGTCTGTAGAGCTTACCATTCCATATTTGTACATGGTTTTTCATTCTTAATGTTGGGATTAATGAAAATAGGTAGTTATTTGAGGTCTTTGCAAACGAAATGGCCATTAAGAATGAAATCAACATAACTTCCATTGTCTTAGGTCTAAGTTGGTTCATTTCAAATGTTATGACATTGTAAAGAGATTTCTAGTTAACCAGACTTTTCTACAAATAGCTTTGGCAGCATTAACAATGTTTTTGCCATAACTTCAGTATACTTCAAGAAAATTTAGTAGCCAGACATGACAATTGATATAAATTCCACACACATAATCATACTCTAAAAATAATTTTTTCTCCTTTTTTCTTACACTAGTCAGAATAGCTAGGAACATTCAGAGAACAAATGAACATTTAAAATACTTTCCCCAGAACTTGACACCACTTTCCAACTTGTCCACAGATAGTATAGATAAGTAGTAAATTAAAATATGTACACTGACTACAGGAATTCCAGAGGAGTACTAACCAATAGAATTTCCCATGTTGATGAAAATGTTTATATTTGCAGTGTCCAATATGGTAGCTATTAGCCATTAGCCTAATGTGGCTGTTGAGCACTTGAAATATGGCTTGTGCAATTTAGTTAAGTAAAATTTAAATTTAAATAGGCACGTGTGGGTAGTGGCTATTTCATCAGATACCACAGCTCAGGGACAAGCTTGCCTTAGACCTGGAGATGCTGTTTGGAGATATTCACAGCAGCCTATAGATGTCCTCCATGAGAAATGGGAAAAACAAGGACCATTTCAAAATTGTGATAGGGTTTTATTCTGTTGCTAATTTAAGAAATCTATATAAAAGGTATGACTGCAGTCTAACTTTTTTTTTTTTTTTTTTAGCAAACATAATGGAGCTTATACATTGAGATACATTTCTTAAGATAAGAAGATATACTTATTTTTATACATAAAGATATATTTATTACAACAATGCTGCCGCTGCCCCAAAGACTTCTGGACTATTTCTGGAAGGATCTTTAGGATCTACAGCAGGTTCTTTTATAAGATCTTTTTTTTTCTTTTTTGAGACAGAGTCTCTATCACTCGGGCTAGAGTACAGTGGCATCATCATAGCTCACTGCAATCTCAAACTTCTGGGCTAGAGTGATCTTCCTGCCTCAGCCTCCCAAGTAGCTGGGACTACACGCACACGCTGCCATCCCTGGCTAATTTTTCTATTTTGTGTAGAGACAGGGTCTTGCTTTTGTTCAGGCTGGTCTCAAACTCCTGGCCTCAAGCGATCCTCCAGCCTCAGCCTCCCAAAGTGCTAGGATTACAGGTGTGAGCTCCTTCACCTGGCCTGTTTTTAAAAATATCTTTTGATGGTGACATTTATGCATTCTTTCAAAATAGATTTGATTTTTAATAAACAGCCACATGACACTTGGAATTGATTTCTGTTGTAAGCTATTTGCTAACTTACTATGTTACCCTTGGCAAATTAACTTCTTTGGGCCTTAACTTTCTCATCAGAAACTAAGGGGGTTGAGCTAAATGATTTCTACCATTACACCCAGCATTGACATGCCGTGACTGACTCAATAATTCCAAATCTGGCAAATAAAGTGATCAAGGTAGGTAAAAACCAGGTACAGTTATACAATAATGAGACAACTGATGGGCCCTAACTTACAATTATTTGACTTATGATTTTTCACCTTTACAGTTGTATGAAAGAAAAAGCATTCAGTAGAAACTGTACTTTAAGTATCCACACAACCATTCTGTTTTTCACTTTCAGTACAATATTCAATAAATTACATGAGATATTCAGCACATTATGAAACAGGTTTTGTGTTAGATGATTCACCCAACTGTAGGCTAATACAGTGTGAGCACATTTATGGTAGGCCAGATTAAGCTACGATGTTCAGTAGGTTAGGTGTCTTAAATGCATTTTTTGCTAATAATATTTTCAATTCATGATGGGTTCATTGGGATGCAATCCCATCATAAGTCAAGGAGCATCTGTAGTTTGCTGATAAGGGTTGTGACTCTACTACAGATGAATTCTAAAAGAGAAGCTCCAAAAATGGTCTAAGCAATTACAAGATTATTGGAAAAACTGTTCTGAACACTATTACTCATTTTGGGTGTGTGTGTGTGTGTATTCTGGCACATTGTTTAAAAATAAATAAAAGAGTTTCAGAAGAGGCATGAAAGGCGAATTCCTATGTGTCTACTAACTTTAATTTTATCAAATATTAGTTATCTCCTTCAGACATTTCACATTATTGAGCTATTCTGCTGTAAGAGAATCGCCTTTTAAGAACAAGTAGTAAAAATGATGGCATAAGGCAAAAGAGACCCTTCACATAGCCTCTCTCAGTTACCTCCAAAATCATGCTTCTGACGTTGCAAAGAGACCTATAATGGCCATCAGGGAGGCAGAAAACAGGCTACAAAATTTCTCTGCAGAAAGGAACTGGCATGTTCTTTGCCACCTGTGTGTTTTGCCAGGGCATCCACTGGGAAATGGGGCTATTCATACCGCCAACAATGAGGCAGCTCCATGCCAACCCCAAATGAAAGCCCAGAGGTGTTTCAAAACTGACAAATTTTTGACAGAAACAATCATCAGCCAAAATCTGATTTATTCCAGAGAAATGCAAACCATAAAATTCCACAGATGTTTAATTAAAAGCAAGGCATTTGGAGGAGTTTATCTAATTTTCTGTCATTTTATGAATATCATTATACTCACTCACAGAAATATATTTCTCTAGGTGGATGGGAGAAGTACATCTGCCAAGAGGTTTTCAAAGCCACTTTAGGACATCTCTTACATGAATTGACAATGATTCATAAAAGGTACAAGGCAGGAGGTCTAGGACAGTCCAACCCAGGGTAGAAACTGGAACAAATAGTAGAGATGGCCTATCATTCGAGGAAGCTTATTTCCTGGGAACAGACACGTGCTATAGAGCCACTGGCTGTTCAGAAATTTGATAAGCTGCTGTTTGTTTTCATGTATGTGTTGAGAAGTAGTTGGAATGTGTTTCCTTTGAGAGCTGGTTTCATTTAGAAAGAGCTCAAGTAAATTATTCCAATTGCTGAAATAGACACTACTGTATCCACTTAAAGGGATCAAAATTTTCCCCAAGCCAGAGAAGACTTATTACTTTTGAGACAACCTGACGTACAAGCTGAGGCCCTTGACTTCTCATAGCAGACACACTCTACTTCCTTGAGGTAAGTGTGCTATAATCCTAAGAATCATTATCCTCTCATATATGAATTAAAATGGAAAAAGCATGGATCTTGTAAATTACAACTCATAAAAATGTTCCAGAGTAAAGCCAGCACAGGGAAGGGACATGACTCACTGAAACCCTGTAATTCTGGGCAAGGCCCATTTATTTTAGGTTCCTCCTTGAGCTCATTATTTTTAAAAACCTTCAGTAAAATGATCTAAAAAGCCAGGATATACTCCAGGAAGAAAAGTTAGCTGTTAGAGATGTGACTGGACAACACAGCTTGAGACTAGATGTGGCTCAGCAGACATTTCTAGTCCCCCACCCCATATTCATGCCCTCTTTCCTCCTTTTAAACAGCAGTCA